AGACGTGATGAACAAATGCCATCCACTGCATGGTCACAGTCAAGACCCTGTGGCTCACCTGCCTTTGGGTCACCTGCATTCCATAGTATTATGCTTGTACTCATGCTCACATGGTCACCTTGGGGTAGCGGGGAGGGTTAAGAGGGGTACAGGGCCCACCCTCCCCCTCGGTCAGTGTGCAGCTGGAGTGGCAGCCTATTCCTAGTGCCCACTCAGGACTTATGTTGGTCAGAGTCTGGGTCTCACCAGAAGGAGCATGTGCAAACTGGGTCGGTTGGTCCACTCCAGACCACAGTCCCGGAGCACCCCCACCTCCATGTGTGAAGTAGCTTCCTCCCTCAGCCTGCAAGGGTCCAATTTGCCATCAGAAAAGATGACCTCTACTTTTTTCTTTTGTATTTTGATAAACACTGAAGAAGCTGGAGCTGTTAAATTTACCTTGGGAAACTTCAGAACTGGTTTACTTGGTGTTGTGGAACCTCTTACTGCTTTCAATACACGATTAGGAATCAACTGTTTTGTATACTTGTTTTCAGTTTTCATTTTGACAAGCACTGTAATTATAGCTATTAGAATAAAGTCTCTTAACTATTTAAAAAAATGACAAAGAGAAGGAGCAAAATGGGTTCTCAGCCCCAAACCCTCCTAAAACAAGTGCAGAGGACACTAGCACAGAAGAAATTGGGAATCACACAGCTGAAATGTCTGAAACAATAATCTATGAAGTAAAGAAACAACTGCAGAAAGGTATAGAGGAACTCAGATCAGAAATAACCTGTGAAATAAAAAAAGAAACCTCTGAATTAATAGCGTCTGAAGTAAAGAATCAAATACAGAAACATATAGAGAAAATTAAATCAGAAATACTCTCTGTAGTAAAAGAATTAATAACTGCTTCTCAAGAAAATACAAATAAAAAAATAGAGGGTTAGAAAAACGACAGATTCCTTGAATGAGCAATACAGGAAAGAAATAGATTGCATGAAGCAGAGCCAAAGAGAGATAGAGGAACTTAAAATCTCAATCACAAGTTTGCAAAACAGTTTGAGTGAAAGTGAAGATAGAGTTTCAGATCTTGAAGATGCCATTGCACCTAGTGAAAAGGTAAGAAAAGACCTCTTAAAAACAACTAAGATGCAGGAAAAAAATGATTCATCACCTGCAAGATGATGCAAAGATGAACAACGTGAGAATAATAGATGTCAATGAGAAAGAAGGAGTCAATACAAATGATATAAAAAGAATATGAGCAGAAATAATTTCATAAAACTTCCCAAATATGAGGAAACAACCTGACATTCAGGTAACCGAAGCATATAGAATGGCAAATAACTTCAACACAATTAAAAACACACTGAGTCATGTAATAGTCAAAATTCCAGGAATCCAGCACAAGAACAATATACTGAAAGGCACCAGAGAAAAGAAACAGATCACATGTAAAGGAAAACCCATCAGAAAAATGGCAGACTTCTCTTCACAAACCATGAAGTGAAGAACAGCATGTAGAAGATACTTCAGGTCCTCTATGAAAACAAATTCCAGCCCAGACTACTATACCCTGCAAAACTCTCTTTCAAGTTTGATGGAGAAGTGAAATACTTTCATGACAAAGAACAAATAAAGAATTTCACGATGACAAAGCCAACCCCACACAGACTACTGAAAGATGTTCTGGAGAGGAAACAAAATGATCAGAACTCCATGAACAAAAGCAGAAGGAACCCCCTAAATATGGCAAACACAGGAGAAAAAAGAAAAAGGAGTAAAAAACAGCAATCCCCAGTTCAGTGGAAAAAAAAAAAAAAGGTGCAAGAAAAAATTCAAATACAAGCAATAAGGAATGAAAACGGTGTAATTACTACAGACACAGTGGAAATTCAGAAAATTATAAATAGATACTTTGAGAATCTTTACTCTCACACAACACAAGATAAGAAGAAATAGACAGATTCCTAGAAAGGAACAAATTACCAAAACATAATCAAGAAGATATAACAACTCTCAATAACCCAACAACAGCCCATGAAATATGAAATGTAATTTAAAAAAAAAAACCTACCGACAAAGAAAAGTCCAGGTCCTGATGGATTCACAGCTGAATTGTATAAGAAATTTATGGAAGTTATAATCCCTATACTCCTCAAACTCTTCCATGAAATTGAAAAGAAAGAAATCCTCCCAAAATCATTCCTGGAGACAAGTATTATACTCATACCAAAATCAGGGAAAGATGCAAGTAAAAAAGAGAACTACAGGCCAATCTCCCTCATGAACATAGATGCCAAAATCTTCAATAAAATTCTAGCAAATAGAATATAGCAAATCATCAAGAAGATCATACACCATGACCAGGTAGGATTCATCTCAGGGATGCAATGATGGTTCAATATTCGAAAATCTATCAATGTAATACTCTGTCAATAGAGCGAAAACTAAAAACCACATGATCATCTCCATTGATGCAGAAAAGGCTTTTGACAAAGCCCAACACTTATTCATATTCAAAGTCCTACAGAACATTGGAATACATGGCCTCTACTTCAATCTGATAAAAGCCATCTATGACAACCCAATGGCTAACATAATTCTAAATTAGAAAAAATTGAAATCTTTACTCTCAGATCTGGTGCAAGACAGGATGTCCTCTATCACCCCTCCTATTCATTATACTTCTGGAATCATTAGACAAGAGAGAGAAATAAAAGGAATAAGAATAGGTAAAGAAGAAGTTAAGTTATCATTATTTGCAGATAACATGACACTTTACTTGGAAGACCCAAAAAACTCCACTAAGAAGCTACTAGAGCCCAGTCCTAGCCCAGGTCCGGTGAGTATGTGGAGAGCTTCCTGCTACCCTGTGCCACTGGGACCAGTCCCAGCCCAGGCGCAGCGTGGGCCAGACCCTCTCCCAC